GCGGTCACGGCATGTTATGCTATGATGTAATGTCATCGCTATTCACTCAGACGTGAGAAATATGACGAGTTGGCTTATATTAAAAAAAATATGATTGTCTTTACTAGTGATGTATCTTATATTCTCTAGAACTTTACTTCAAATATATTTTTTTTTAACACACACTAGGTTAACCATACCATAAGAATATTTTCTAAAACGAGAACAGATTTTATTAAAAAAAAAAAAGAGAGAACGAACGGATAATTAGTGCGTTAACGCTTCTCATTGTAATTTTAGGTATTTTAACAGTCGACTAAGATATATGCCGTATTATATCCTTGTTTTATAACATTCTGTTGCCTCTGATAGATAAATAGTACTCGTATGAGTATAAGAGATGACTACATATATGACTCATTTGCTGTAGATGCTCTTCGCTGCTGGTGAAAAGATAGCTTGTTTAAAGACCCGTACTTCGCTTACACATAGTGGTACATGGCTGCCATTCGAGATCATTCTTCATTTTGTTGGCAAATCAACTAACTGATCCGTTGCATTGTTTCGGCTACTCTATATTTTTTGTATTTTGTGAGTGTTTACAAAAGCCCACTGGTGCGAGTGCAACGCGACTTCTATAAATTATATATAAGTTCTGTTCATTAGCTTTTGGCATTAGGCAAACGATTCGTCAATCTAATTTAAAGAATAAAATATATCTATGCCAATTTTTAGTTAATGTTTTAATTAAACATTTTAGTTAATATTCTTTACATAAATGTACTTGTAATGTAAATGTAGGTGGAAAGAGATGGTGTGACGACCTGACCTGAAAAGACATGCAGGAAATCGATGGATGCAGGTGGCTCAGGATCGTGCTTTGTGGCATTCCTTGGGGGTGGCCTATGTTCAGCAGTGGACTTGTGAAGGGCTGTAATGATGATGATGATGGATATGAATCAGTCGGCGCGTCAATAAAATACCGGTTAGATCGAGAGTGACTGAGAGGTTGCGTCACTCTAGCGAAGCGTCATATCGATATTGGTGAGGTGGAATTGAGGATATATCGAGGAACCCCCCCCCCCAAACACATATGTGCAGTATAATGTTAACTGTAGGCGTCATGTGTGCGAGATTCCGCCTAAGTCAATCTACGAGTGAAGTCACGCTAGGAGTGCTAAGACTCGTAAAATGGCAGGATCATGATTTTGTTCGTTGTAGTAATTCTTCTATTGCAGGCAAGGAAGATGGCGTTGCTGAGAGTCTGCTTTGTGTTACAGAAAGATGGGTAGTGTATCTGTTGGTTTGTATACTGTGGTGTTATCATGTAATTACGTCCTTCATGTTACACTATTGTGTAATTCTGACATTTATTACGGTATGGTCAAATTGTAATTGCTCTATACTGAATGTATAGTGCAGTAAACTGTTTTATTGCCGATAATGATTAATTCCGTAAGCAGGAGAGCAAGTTGAACATGCACTCTCACACTATTATTACTTTTAACAATTAACCTTCTGATGTATTTCCGCGAATTCCAATAAATTTTTTTTCATAGAAGTCCATAAATTGTTTATTTGTGTTTAACTCTTGCCCATCACTAGCTACTATTGTTGGAAGTTGGTTGGTTTGCATGTACAAGCTTACGTAACCGTTTTGTTGCGTGCTCGTGTAATACAATGGAACTGCACTTGTATTACCATAACCGCAAAAGTCTTGACAATATTCAAGTATTTTTACGATTTGTGTAGATAAACTAACGATAACGATCTCAAAGCTTGGTGGCGAAGAAAGAGAATTCATTATATCATGCTTTAAGATTCCACTAAAGAAATGATTTTAGAAACATGTAAAGAATCTAAATTGGAATCCCGAATAAGAATAAATTAAATTATCTTCTCTATTTATAAAAATCTATTGCTGTTCTCTCGTCTCGCTAAATTTCGAAAACAGTTCGAAGAATTGGATGGTTTAGATTCACAATTGAACCCGGTAGGTAGCGCGTTGTCGAGATCCAGAAAACACCCGTGCGAAACTGAGGCGGACCGCTAGTAATACATAAAAATATTAAATATTTGTTATAGTAATAAAAAAAACGTATATGTCTAGTGGCGGTGTAAGAATATGCACTATCCCATATCAATATCATTCATATCATTTGCCGTGAAATCTTTTGAAGTGTTATTTTTTATAACCGTACGAAATTTGTACGTGGTAGAGTCATGCTGCAGCTATATTAGTTGTATAATTGTAGCACGAATGGATCGGCTCGGCCGGAGAAGGACATATAATGACAGCGTAAAATAGCAGCTTAACGCTGCTGCGCTTCGTATGATGAGTGTAGAGAACCGGAGATCCTTTGTACTGGAAACGAGGCGTTCCATCTTAGTCCTCACGGGTGACAACGTATCTGAATTTTGATTCGTAATCGAGGATGGATGTAGATGTCTAAGGGCCACAGCAACCACTTACCATCAGGTGGATTGTGTGATCGTTTGTCATCCTTATCCTATAAAACATATACATACACACACACACACACACACACACGCACACACGACCGGACTTTCAGCCGGGAATACTCGGAACGGCTTCCTAGGACCTCAAAACTCGCATTTTCAAAATCGGACCAAAATCTATAATTTCCTACTTTTGAACATTATTAATTTTGAAAGAGGAAAGTTAAAAAGTACCAGTTATAGAAACTATTATTGTATAATATATTCCTTTCAATTATATTTGCAGCCCTGGTAAGCAAGAAGCGTGTCGCGGCCATCACTTGACGCTGGCTTAGTGATAAATAGTAGCATTGTTTTAAAAATACGAAACAATGAACAAGTGTATTAGGCACAAAAACAAATATAAGGCTTCCGGATCGAATTTCGGTCACGGTGGCCAGTCTCAATGTTACTGGCAATCGGCGCAGGACAAGATTATAGTGCCCAAGTGTATGCGGAAGCATAAATGCACTCTCTATTCCTTCACTCTCATAGTCCGATGGGACGACATGGCTGGAGAGAGATCACTATACGTGCTTTATAAAGCACAGGAGTGAAAATCCGGCCGGCTTTCTGACTTCGAGCTGCTCCTGAGAATTTCTTGATAAGAAAACACAATTGCTATTGGCCCGACCAGGGCCAATTATTTTTAAATTTGTACGTGGTAGAGCCATGCTGCAGCTATATTAGTAGTACAGTTGTAGCACGAATGCGTCGGATCGACCGGGGAAGGACCACGCTCTCACAGAATACCAGCGTAAAATAGCAGCTTAACACTGCTGTGTTTCGTATGGTGAGTGTAGAGAACCGGACACCCATTTTACTGGAAAAGAGGCAATCCATCTTAGTCCTCGCGGGTGACAACGCATCTGCATTTTGATTCCCAAACGAGGATAGATGTAGATGTCTATGGGCCACAGCAACTACTTACCATCAGGTGGACTGTGTGCTTGTTTGTCACCCTATCCTATATAAAAAAAGGGATTCGAAGGAACCCAGGACCACATAATCAATCACCGTAACAACCCTTACAACATATTAGAATAGCATGGAATGGTAACATTTAAGAAACCTAAGACATATATAATGCTGAAGCGTCAAATTACACAAAGCAGGAAATATCTCATATCAAGGGTTGAAAATTTCTTTGGACGGCGTACAAGGCAATGGCTAACTCCAACCTTGTGTAATGAACTCGTGCATATATACGACGAAAGCATAACTAAGTCGCAGCTCAAAACCATCTTGAGAAAACATTACGTGTCGTTGTGTCCATAGTAGTGAATGTTTCTTTAATTATTAATGCGTTAATTTAAGTATTTATAAGTAACTTATATTGTTATTAAGGAGTGTGAAACGATAAACTGTTGCGTTGCCGACAAACTGGCTTACAGTTTGTCAAAAGTAAAAAAGTAAATAATGTAAACTCTTTTTATGAATATATAAAAAAAAAAACTAGACCAACGAGGCAGTTATGTCACAGTCAGTTAGACACAACCACAGAACACAATTACTCTCTACCAAGAGGATACAATAAAAATTATTCTTAGAGTACAAATCTAAATTGTGCAAATTTTAGTTTTAAAATGACTTATTTTCTAATATTTGCATAGTTACTATACAGTATACAATACAATACAATACTCTTTATTGTACACCAAGAAAAGATAAAAATATCAAAAAGAAAAAAATAAACAACTATTGAGGGAAATACAAAAGGCGGTCTTATTGCTACATAGCAATCTCTTCCAGACAACCCAGTTAGACATACAGTATAATTTTAATTCCAAATTCATACCAGGGTCGTACACATTTTTTTAAGTTAATAATTTGAAAAATATGATCATAAAACCAAACTAACTGGTCTGTTTTATGTATATATTTTCATGTTTACTTTTGACCACATGATGTTATCAATCCTATGAAATAATGATGAATCTAATTGAACCGGAATAATATAATAATAATACACATTTATATTCGACTTATACTAATGATACATAGAGACTCAAAATACAAGAATAACAAAAGATGAAATAGACAGACCAGACCAGACAGACCAGATGTTTTGTACTTGGTAGAGCCACGCTGCAGCTATATTTGTAGTATGGTCGACGAATGGGTCGACAGCGTGAAATAGCAGCTTAATTCTGCTGTATTTCGTATGGTAAGTATAAATAAACGGAGACCCTTTTTACCGGAAAAGAGGAATTTCATCTTAGTCCTCACGGCTGACAACGCACCTGCATCGTGATTCGCAAACAAGGATATGTGTAGATGTCTATGGGCCGCAATAACTACTTACCATCAGGTGGACTGTGCTCGTTTGTCACCCTTATCTTATAAAAACAAAGACCGATTCTAATAAACGGTACACGGCTCACTTACGCCTCCCTTTGTTAAATAAATAAATAAAATAATAAATAAATGTGATACGAGTCGGTGCCCAAATCATAATTCAATAAAAATAAAAATATTCGCAATGAAAAAAGCGACAACTAAAAATCATATTTATTAATATGTCATACTAGAGATGGCTCTGCATACACACCGGCAAACACAATCACACCAGACTGTTTTTCTCTTATGAGGAACACAAACTCTTTATTTGCTTCGAAACGCTGAGAGAGAATTCTATCTTCTAATCCGACAACAGTAGACGATGCAGCAACAGTTCCTTCTTCTGTAACCTCAATATTTACATTCTGTATTGTTGTTGAAACGTATAGAGGGCTGTCGGAGATGCCAGGCATTTGAGCTTTTCCATAATCAAAAATATTTCGTATACCCATATACATTAATGGCGGTATCATGTCTGATTTGGAAGTAATCTTGAATCTAGGTATATAGCAGTCTATTTCTGATAGCCCTTCTGATGTTTGGAACTCGTTTAACCATGTCAATGGTTCCCGCGATAAATTTTCTAATAGTTTTTGTAGAGGCATACCGTCGAACGGAAGCAATATTAGCATCGATAACTGCTCGTTTTTTCCGTATGGCATTTCAAGAATTTGAGCACCTATTTGAGGCAAATCCCCATTATTGTGAGGAGCCTTATGATACATCATGTTCACGGATCCAATTTTTTTACCCTGGTAATTATAGAACGCTTCTTCCCGCGTCTGTGTAGGGTCGAACTGGTGTGTCCAGTTTGCTTTGAAATATAAACCATCTACTAAAATCATTCTAAGATTTTCTAAGACGCGAGGAGATACTGCCTCTGCTATTCTGCCTTGTGTGACCCTACAGATAAAATTATTTATATCATTGGCAAGTAAAGTTGTATTACTAGTATCAACCAGAAAAACTTGTGTGTCAAAATTCTTAGCGTATTGACAGAAATCCTGATGAATATTCAGGTTGCAATCAGCGAACATTCCTGACACTCCGTCCAAAGTAACATCTTGGTCTCTTCTTAGCAATATGCCGGAAACAGCTGAATGGAGGGCAGCAGTAACTCTCATATCATTTGGAAATCTCAGTTCACTCATTAACTCATTGAATGTGTCACCAGAACTACCCTCGGCGAGTAACGCGAACATGCTCCATATAGACAACGGTGATATAACCACATTCTTCTGTCCGTAGCTCTCTTGAAACGCGTAAGTATTATATAGGAGTTTTAAAGAGAAGTCATTTAGGGGTGTAAAATCGATGTTACTGGTAGGCGCTGCTGAAGCAAGGCTCACAAGAGCTATAATCTTCCACATCGCGCAACCAGATAGTTCCGAGTCAAACACGACACTGGTGCGGAAAGACGCGATTCTATCAATTTCAATGCAGACCTTCTCACGTGCGTACAATCTATTATGTTTGTGAAGCAATGGGTCGCGTGAACGATTGGCTAGTACTATACTAGTTAGCATGTGGGACGAGTTTATATGGGTATTTTCATGTGGAAGGCTCTTCAAGTCGGTACATTTATATGGGTTTTTTTTATATTGAACACTTAATCGATTTGAGACAGCCGTAAAATATTAAGACTGTTAAGGTGTTGTTATTGTTTTAGCAAAAACTAAACCGGTTGAAGTTTCATCTTAATTCCATTTGGGTGTTAAAATACAAATTATTGCGCCATATATAAATTCCGTTATATTTAAAATCTTGAGATATAATATTCGTGGTTATATATATATATATATATATATATATATATATATATATATGCTTTTAAGATCCATAAAATATATTTAATTTGGATTGCTTTAGAGATAATTGATTGTTTGGATTTTAAATTTGGCATGAACTAAATAAGATGTTTTGGAACAGAAGTACCTTTGCTCCTGAGCTAGAATGTGGCGGACAGAACTCTAGACATACAATGGCGCTGGCGGGGATCGAAATTGGTTTGATTGCGTATTTTATATATTTAAGATGCAGGTACTTTTTGAACACTTGACTACCTCGTCGGTCTATTAGTTGTAATAGTGCGACTGCTGATCATGGGGTCACCGGTTCGAATCCCGGGTCGGGCCAAAAAAATCAGTTATTGAGCTTTTCCATCAAGAAGTTCTCATTTAGGAAGTTAGCGGTGTGTCACAACCGTGCCTCGAAAAAGCACGTAAAAACGGTTCTGTCAGTTTACCGTCCCACTGGACTATGAGAGTGAGGTAATAGAGAGTGCACCTGTGGTTGCGCACACACGGCCACTATAGTCCAGTCCTACGCCGATGGCTAGTCTCCGTAGAGGCTGGCCGTCGTGACCGAAATTCGGTCTGGAAGACATTATTGCTATTTGAAGAACTAGAAAGTAAGTAACTAGATACTTAGATACCTGTTTGAATTAATGTCTGTCTGCTATCTTCATGGGAGGTTAATATGTATTGATTGCGTTAATTCATGTATCCAATACAGTCCGTCAAATTCAACTACTGTACACGGGCCTTCCTACAAGGACTGTTGTCTCAGAATGGTGATATTTGCCATAGCTACACTTGGCATGCGGGTTGGCAACCGCAGTTTTAATTTCTAGTTGTTGATAGGAAGACGATGTTGGCCATTTTCTTTCTTTCGCTGTACGGATTTTATCGTGTTCTATTTTATCTTTAATTTCCAGCGTTTCCAGCACTTTGCAGTATCCACGTTCACGGGGACTGAGATTGACAGTATAAAATTAAATGCGATAAATACAGTAAAAAAAAAATTTTCCAAGATGTATTTCTTCTACTCTATTTCGTTGTTAGCCTATAAATAGTCCACTGCTGGAAATCTGTCAATTTTCTAGCATGGGCTGCTCGCCATCGTAATCGTTTCTTTTGACCAGTAGATGGGTAGCAGTTAGACCTTTATTTTCGTTATAACCAATTACAGGTGTGAAAACACCTTTCTGATAATTAACTGAACTGTGCGCGTTGACAAATTACCCACATAATACACATCATGATAACATCGGGCGCAATATGTCAAGAGCAGTTCAGATAACAATGGTCATTGAACTGTTAGTATTTACCTAATCATCCGTTACCGCTATAAAGTATTGAAAGTCCACAGCTGAATATAGGTCTTCCCATAAATTGTCTCATAAGGGGGATATTTGTCAAGCTGCCACGCCAGGCAGGCGGGCTAGCAACTGCAGTTTTTTTTAATTTTTTAGTTATTATTAGGAAGACGATGCTGCTTTGCGGGAGGTTTGTTTCCCTCTGTCGCCTCTTACGACACCCACGGGACGATGTGGGTTAGTGGAAGTTCTTACACTGCAACTACACGGCCATCTAATCATCCCTTACGGCTTGTTTTGTGTTTTAAGCCAGAACCAAACTTGAAAAACTTCTTTAATTTGTGTTCATTATAGACTTAATAGGAAACAAGAAATTGTTTGACTTCTTTAATTTCTATTATCACAGAAAATGATTTTGACATTAATTAAACTTCTTTTCTACCGACTTCAAAAAGGAGACGGTACTCAATTCGACTCTATATTTTTTTATGTGTGTTACCTCATAACTTTATACTAGGTGGACCGATTTCGATGATTTTTTTTTATTTGAAAGCTGGTGCATCACACGTGATCCCATATAAATTTCATTTCAAAATAAACTCGTCGCCACTGTAATGTCCTTGCTTTTCAAGGAATATGGGAAGGGCTTATTTAAACACACCGAAGCCGTAAACCATAGATAATACACTATATACCAGGGAACCGATCATTTATTCACACAATACAGGGTAGCCGTAGAAACCGTTGTTATTATCTACCGACATAATATGCTACAATATAAAATTCATCAAGGTCAAATCAATAGTTTTTGAGTTATTCTTAATAATTAATACTGAAGTTGGTTGTACAAAATTTTTAATTTTATATTATCTCTCATTTATTTTGGCAACAAACAATCGTGATACAGATATATAAATAGTTTTATATATCTTTTACACTTTACATTTACTTTAAGGCAAAAAGACCAAAGAGTGCCAACAAATCTACATAAACAAAGCACATTTACATTGTAAGTGACCGACTAGGTCAATAGAATTATTGTATTTAAAGTAATCATAAAACATTACGTTATTTGATATAAGATAAAACTGGCCGAAGGAAGGAATGACATTAATTCCCGAATTAAGAGGTTGCTACTAGCAGCGGTAAATGTAGAATATTCTCGTTGTTCACAGAGTTAGATCCCCGCTAGAACAAATTAAACGCAGGAAACGTAATACGAGTATTTTTTTTTATTAAGAGTGACAAACGAGCACACACTCCACCAGATGTTAAATGTTTGCTGTGGCCGATAGACATCTACACCTATCCTCGATAACGACTCAAAATTCAGATGCGTTGTCACCCGTGAAGACTAAGATGGAATGGCTCGTTTCCAGTAAAAGGGGTCTGCGGTTCTCTACACTCACCATACGAAACACAGCAAAGTTAAGCTGCTATTTTACGCTAGTATTCTGTGAGAGCGTGGTCCTTCCCCGGTCGAGCCGACCCATTCGTTCTGCAACTATACCAGCTATACTAGCTAACTATATCTGCATTACGTTTCCAGTGATAAAGTAAAATAATTGTGAGGAAGACTGCATGCAGAGTAATAAAAATATTTCTAGGTTCGGTGAAGTCCAATTACACGTGTTAGTGCATTAGCGTTGGACTATATCCTCCCCTAAAACGCTCCCAGAAATAGGAAGATTTTCTACGTGGTAGAGCCATGCTGCAGCTATATTATGGTACCGGGGAAGGACCACGCTCTCACAGAAAACCAGCGTAAAATAGCAGCTTAACGCTGCTGTGTTTTGTATGGTGAGTGTAGAGAACCGGAGACCCTTTTTACTGGCAAAGAGGCATTTCATCTTAGTCCTCACGGGTGGCAACGCATCTGCATCTTGAGTCTTTATTGAGGATAGATGTAGATGTCTGTGGGTCACAGTAACCACTTACCATCAGGTGGACTGTGTGCTCGTTTGTCACCCGATCCTATAAAAAAAAGTGGTCTGTTTCCAGCAGTAACATGAGTGGCTGTTAATCGACGGCTCCATGGTTTAAAAATGAATTGTGCTACTGCGGGCCGCGGTTTCTAATCCTTCACGGAACGTGTTGTATCGCATACTTGTCTGGATATTTGTCCTTATTAACGTTACGTATGTAAATTGCCTCCACGTTAAAGCGATAAAATCCTAGTGTGACTTTCTGATGTTAAGAGATTTTTATTTAAAGACGAAAAAATACAAGTTTTAGATCATGTTTAGAAATAATCTACGCGTATGTCTTTGCCTTGCGATTTATTTTTTTAGAATAAATGTCTTTAATATGTCATCATCAGCCTTTAACATTCGACTTCTGGACATGGACCTCATCCCATAAGGAAGAGTTGCCATAATTGCTACGGTTTACTATATAAAATATTGTTATTGTCGTAAATGTTGAAATAAAAGGTCACCGCCGAGTTCGGATCTCAATTCCGGTGCATTTCAATTACGTGGAAGAAAAGAATGAGGAGTGTACAAAGGCTAACAGGGTTGCGGCTAATATGAAAAATAAGTTTATTCCTATCTTCGAAAAAATATAATCAAGAAATTACAATTAACACATTCTATAATTAATTTATTTACATGAAATAATAAGTTATATACAAGAATGACAGAGTAATTAAAAAATATTTGAAAACATATTAAGTCCGCCAATAAGGGCAAACTGGCGGACATTTCATCGCTCTAAAACCTTCTTATAAATTAGAGGACTTATATAACAGAGGCTAAAACTTTACAAAATAATCTTGAATCTACTCTAATCTATCTAATCTTGAGCTGGGAGCTAGTTTTTATTCAATCTTTATTCTTCCTTAAATTCTCTCTGTACTTTGTTAGTAGACTTTTGAAAACTATTTCTTCTTTTTTAGTTACAAGACAGTTAAAGTTACAGAGAAACTGTTTTTCATTCTAACCCATGCGTTTTTAACACGGTTTGTATTTTTATAGTCTCTGTGTTTCGTATACAATATTGAAGACTCAGCTCAAAGAAGCTTGAAAAATTCGATGATACTGACGTTACTCTAATCCATTGTTGACACTCATAACTGTTCCGATCGGTATTCATTACTAAGAAATAATAAGCTACTCCTGTTAGTACTCAACTTAACAAATTATGTAATAAAAGTGGCAGAGCCAACAAACTTTAAACGCTGTTTTTTTATAGGATGGGGTGACAAACGAGCACACAGTCCACCTGATGGTAAGTGGTTCCTGTGACCCATACATCTATCCTCGATAAAGAATC